ACCATTTACTAAATTGACGTTAAGTATATAAACAGGTGTAGGTATTCAAATAAGTTCTAATATGCGCAATTTAAACAGCATCGAGATAGAAAAAATATACCTAATGATTCCAAAAACTACGTCATAAATTATTTACACCAGTTGATAGAGGATAAAATCAACTTTGCATAATTAATACAAAATAAAACATCTACATTACACAGTAATAAAAATAAACATTTATCAACATCAAAGTTACTAACGGTCACTAAACTGTTTTGCTACATAGACTGCTATTCCTTGTCACTGAAAATATAAAAATAACTGGCTACAGGTATGAATATATTATGCGCACTATGAGATGTGTGTACATTAATTTTTTTTGTAAATAGACACCTCAAGACAATAAATTTTCACTGTCAGAAATATATTATCAAATTAATTAATATAGCTTGAACTCCTACGTCATACATGACATTCAAGGCAAATTCAAACTTGCTTTTTTTACGACGCTTTGAATTTTTTGCCTTAGATATTAATAATAACAATGCTATTACAGGGGGAAAAAAGGGTGGGCAGGTTGTTATGTAGCAATATGTTTTATTTTATTACCACACCGTCTCGTCTCCAGTACATTTAAAAGATAACAATATCTAGAGCAAAGGTTATCACTAAAAGAAATAATAACATAAACTCATTAAAAAACAAGTGAGCATTATGCTATGGAAAATTCCTTATCTTATTCAAAAAATACTGTTTTTTTTTTTGTATAATTCTTGTTTTTGTAGACATATTTGTTTATGGTTGAACTTTATCCGGGTTAGTTGTTCACTGAAACCGTACAGTTTCGGAGATTCTTCTGAAGAAGAGAGCGATATATATCGAAACGTTACTTTTCGTCTATGACGTGGAAACTAGCTCGGAAATTGTTGAACCATTGAAGGAAATTAAGTGAAATTACTTTAACTTCTGTCAAGATTATCTTCGGTACTGTGTCAGGTGACACAGGTCAAGTGACAGAACGAAAAATAATTACTTCCTACCTCTGACCAAAGCCAAAATTCCCATAAATTTATATTTATTAATGATAATGTGTTTTTGCTCACTCCTAGTGTCGCAATTCGATAAAGTGTACATTTTTAAAGATGCCAATAGTAATCTATTTAGAAACAGACAGCGTTTTGCACAGATGTGAATGTTGAAGGATAAAACAAGTTCAACGAACTACACGAGAGCTAGAAAATTTCATGGACATTTTACTTACTTTACCACACATAATAATATCGACGAAAACTATTCGAAATATCCCAATTAGGATGTAAAGTTTCAGTACCAACAAATAACTAAAATGAACTATTTACAAATTACATTTCCCAAGCAATATAGTCGAAGAATATTGAAAAATCGAGATATAGACAGGGATATATGTATACAGGGTGAGTCAGAAAGAATGGGTCAACAGTAAACTGGAGATATTAGACACCAAAATATTATACGAATGTCGCTGGTTTAAGAAATACAGGGCGTTCAAAGTTTAAATTTTATTCTGAAATTTCTCAATAATTCAGAAAGTTTTGATAGCATAACTCTGAAAATTGGTAGTGTTGGGTTTTTTGGTGTGACAATCACGAATTTGAAGCTTCTTCTGCTGTTGCTCTTAGAGGGCGCTAGTTTCACCGCATGCATTATTTAGGTAAATCAGAACATATTTTTTTATTTGTTGAGATATACTTAAAAAAAAGCTAAAAATCTAAAAGAACGTTCAATTCTATTTAAAAAATGTACTCTTGTTTAAGTCGCCTAACTTTATCGGTTTCTGAGTTATTTTTGCGTTTAAAAGTTTAAATGTATTTTGTGGTTAGATTAGGTGGCAATTCAAAAGGTCCTATGAAAAAAACAGAAATTAAACTACACCAAATATTCACTTTGAACTCATGAATGTCTTTCTTTTATAGCATGCGGAATCTCACAAATGCTTGTTCTTTCAATTGAAAACTCATCTAGTAAATGTCGCCTCATCAGTAAATAAAATCTTATTGAGGAAATCTGGGTTTTCCGTTTGCATATTTTGTATAAACTGAGCAAATTGTAGGCGAGCTGGTAAATCTTGAGGCAATAACTGCAGAACCGGAGTATAATGACATGGATGGAGCATTTCTATTTTCAAAATTCTACAAATGGACGATTTGCTTACTCCCGTTGCTGCAGTTAACCGAGGAGTACGAGTAGTAAAATTTTCTCTTCTTCATCAACTGTGATAGATTTTGGAGTACCATGGTTACTTTTTGGTCTAAAAGATCCAGATCCGCCTAAGCGATTATAAAGATTTCTGAATAGTTTATAATTAGGTAATCTATTTGGGTACAATTGCACATATCTTCGGGCTACTGCATGTTCATTAAAATTAGCCTGAGCAAAAACACAAATCATATTATGTATCGCACTGTTGGAAAAACTATTATGTCATGGTATTTTTTGATCACTAGCTAATAATTTTGCACGAACACGCAGCAAAATACGTTAATATTTATTGACATGAAAATTTGACACAAGCCTACTTAGAAAAGAAATAGCAATATCAGCGCCTTAAAGAAAATCACCAAAAATACATTGAAATTTTTAAATGCAAATAACTCAGAAACCGATAGAGTTAGTTAGGAATCAAGAGTATATTTTTTATATAGACCTGAACGTTCTTTTAGCTTTTTAACTTTTTTAAAGCATAGCTCAACAGATAAAAAGAATATGTTCTGATTTACCTAAATAATATGGTGAAACTATCGCCCTCTAGGTGCAATGTCAAAATAAGTTTCAAATTCTTAATTCTCGCACCAAAAAAACCCAACACTACCAAGTTTCAAAGTCATGCTATCAAAACTTTCTCAGTTATTGAGAAGTTTCAGAATAAAATTGAAACCTTGAACACCCTGTATTTCTTAAACCAGAGACTTTCGTATAAGGAATGATGAGCTCAAACATAATATTTTGGTGTCTAGTATCTCCAGTTTAGTGTTGATTCTTTCTGACTCACCCTGTATGTACATTTGTTATGGCCTACAAAAACGGCCAAATACTGGGTATGTATTTAAATATGGTACTTTGTATTTTAGCATTTTTTAACAGTTTATTAAATTCTAGAATGCCAATCAATATTTACTTGTGTTTAGCTATCTATCAGATATAAGTTACAGATAAAGCGAATTAAAAATTTTATAGAATAAGATATGTGATTAAGTATCAAGAAAATATATGATATTTATCATCCTCCTTTAAAGGGTTATACCTCCCTTATTATTTGTTTTAGTTGAGGCTGAGCAAATACAAAATGAAAAATTGAAATTCAAATATACGAAGTACCTAGTAGTATTTGTTAAATAAATTATAATAAAATAGTTCCAGATATTTTTAGGATATTTTATATAAACTTTTTTTTGGAAAACAAATAATAAGGGAGGTATAACCTTTTAAAGCAGGATGATAGGTATAATTTTTTTGTTATATCTTAAAATACCTTCGGGATATCTTATTCACAGTTGTTTATCCTTAGACTTAGGTCAACAGAATTCTAATATACAGGGTGATTCAGAACTTATCAAAAAAAATAAATTCTGGATGTACAGGGGACCCTTACAAATACAATTTTGTAAAGAAAAAATCAAAAAGGTCAGTTCGAAATTGATTTAAAAATACACTTCTGCACGGCATTGGAAACTGGTCCACTGTAAAACCTGACCTCGCACAATGCGACCGGTATGGCGGCGTGATAAAAACGGACAAAAACTTTCGCAAGGAAAGAAATATGTTAATAGAATTTTATCGCACCTATTTTATATCGGCAAATTCAAATGCTTTTGCCTTTATTAATTATTAATAAAATTAATTTGTGTTTTTAAATAACAAAATCATTTGACATACCCGATGCTGCAACAGCAATTGTTCAAAATTTTATCCACTCACGTGTAACGTCTTACTCATTTTCTACGAACTAACACAAATGATGTCTTGCTTCACCATAACACAAATACTTCACCATATTACAAATGTTGTCTTGCTTCACCATAAATTAAAACGATATCCATCAACTTTGAGTTGCTATACACGCAAGCCATTTTTGTCACTAACTACTAAAAAACCGATGTAAATACCACAGATAACATGTAAAAACTACCGCAACGACGGATTTCAGTATTAGGAGTCACATGGCTCTCCACGCGTATTGCGAATGACGCTAGAGACTACAGTTGTCCAGCTATGTAGTGGTTTAATGTGCTATAACTTCAATAATTTTTTTCTCAGAAACTATAAGGATTTTACAAAATTTTTTTTCACAATATTGACTCCATTTCTCATGCCGCATCTATTCCCAAATTTTTTTGGATAAGTTGTGAATCACCCTGTATACTCGGTTTCATCTCAATTTTTTTATTTTTTCTTCGATTTCGAAAAATATTATTATAGAAAGAAAGTATTCTTGTTTATTAATTTTAGTAATTCGAATTCAAATGTATCTTACTATAGAAAAAATCTTTTTATAAATTCGGTTAATTTAGCGAACAAATAATAATAAGCATTTAATTTCCAATTCACATCATCACATAAACAGAAAGGGAAGTGTAATAAAATGTTTATTGATAGAGTAAAATTAATTTATAAAAATTAAATTTTTAAAAATTAAGGAGTAAATAATTTTGCCAAAAAGGTTAATATGAAAAGGCACCTTTTTATTTTTGATGTACAGTACGTCCTAGGAATATCAGAAGAAAATTTAGCATATGTTTTAAATAATAAATAAAATAAAACCTAAGTACATCTGAAAAGTTAATAGAGAATTTATTATCTTTCTCATCATTTTGACTTCAGTTTTTCACAACAAGCATGCTTCATTTTAATTTAGTATAAATGAAACAAATGTTTGGTTATTTAAGGACTTTAGGGGACCAAAAATATAAGCATAACTTGGCTATTGTGTTAAGAAATACAAATACTTAAAACTTTTTCCAATCTACCGCTCACACACTCACCTTGCGTATTGACGTCCCACAAAACTACAGTGGCACCAAGTTTGGCCAGCCTGAGAGCCAGAAGCCTGCCCAAACCACCCCCGCCGCCAGTAACCAGCGCGATTTCTCCTTGAACATCCTTCAAACTCCTGTAGGACCTCGGCAAGACGGCCTGGTAGATAGACCTCGCGATTTGAACGATAAAGAACAGGATGAACCCTATCGCGTCTATGATCGACTGCATTATGTTTGAATCACTGGGCTGGGCCGTTATCTTCATGTTGACTGTACTGTTTTTCGCGGAACACTGACTAGTTTTCAAGCGGACATAGTATCCAGGATGGGTGTTATCACAGAGGTCGCGGTTATCTGGAAATTAAGAAAAGCATTCTCCTGTTAACAAGCCGATTTCTGGTGTTTTGACGGTAGTTATCCGACTAATTAAGCGTATTAAATTCTCAAGGCCGACATGTAAAAACAGAGACTATGCGATCATATACAGAGTGAATCACTGCAATCTTTAATCGATAACCACGAAGAGATATGAAAAATCTTAGCAATATGTGAACTCAGTAGGTACTTTTCACGGCAACTCATTTCAGCAGAAAGAAAATTAACAACAATTGGAAATTACTATGGTTTCTTTTTTAAAATAAGCTGAAATTTTTCTGATATTTTATACGAATTTATTCTACTACAACTCTTTGGCATTGATATTATTATTATTGATATCATTTATATTTTTGACGCTTCCTACGAGAACTAGAAAGAGAAGATTAAACAGGGTGTTCGGAAAGTCCTTCAGGAAACTCCGGGAGAGTATTTTACGGATTAAAATAATAGCAGTATATAATGAAATTTTTTTTCGAATTGTCAAAATTGTTTGCCAAGTTCAATTTATTTTATTTTTCTTTTTAAATAACTTATTTAATTCAAGTTCCATTAGTCTCTCATTTGGCACACCCACTGAATAGATCAAGCTCTATTGGATCACTCAGAGAAAAGTTTCATCACCTAGAACTCAAAATTTGTTTTGTTCATAACTTTTTTCTCTTGCTAGACATCGCAGAAATTTAAACATTATTGAAAAGAGAAACAATATTAGAAAAAATGATGTACTATTTATTCAAACCGATAAATATAACCGTTTAGCAGGAAATCGCTATTAAAACTTTATTAAACACCAAATTTTTGATAATTCTTTCTATAATCAAGTTACCATGCTTCAAATAAATGTCATAAATAATTTTGGTGTTACGAATTGTAACGAAAATTGTTTAAATTAGGTGTAAATTTGATTTTTCACCATAATAATTTTTTTTTCGGCTCTGGAAAAATGAGATGAGGATAATGAAATTACTAATAATATTTTATTTACTAACGAAGCTGGTTTTACAAGAGATGGTATTACAGCATGGTTACTTGATTGATTACAGAAAGAATTATCAAAAATTTGATGTTTAATAAAACTGTAATAGCGAAATCGCTAAACGGTTACATTTATCGGCTTGAATAAAAAGTACATAATTTTTTCTGATATTGTTCCTCGTTTCAATAATATTCAAATTTCTGTGATGTCTAGCAAGAGAAAAAGTTATGAACAAAACAAATTTTAAGCTCTAGCGGTGTATATTGAAACTTTTCTCTGATTGGTCAGCTAGAGCTTTATCTACTTAGTGGGTGTGCCCATTGAGAGACTAATCGAACTTGAATTAAATAAGTTAGTAAAAAAATTTCATCACATATTGCTATTATCAGTAGAACCAACTCCCGGAGTTTCCTGACTTTTAAAACACCCTGTATAAGTTTTTTGACTTTAACACATTTTTGGACTCTTTTTTTAATATACCGTATGCTATTTGGTAGGTAGAGATCACACCATTTTTTAGAAAGTGATTTCAAGGCCCGTAAAAAAGTTTTATGACGACAAAATTTTGGAAGAAATTTATGCAAGAAAAAATTTCATTTAACTAGTGTGCTACTTTAATTTTCACCAGCCACTACTATCTCCAATAATAAGAGAGATATGGCCAAAATAGTAAGCTTGCTTTTGACACAATGCTTTTGACTAATCTACCTTATTATTAGAGATTAATCATATGTCACTATAGTAGTAAGACAATAACTTCGTCTAAATATGACGGTGTTCTATTAAAAAAAATACTAGGTTGGCTCTGTTCCCACATTTCTTGACAGTCATTTATTATTCAGACCAATTTTTTTTAATTCTTTTATTAAACTTTCTACATAGATTTCAAAAAATTAACGAATTTTTTTAATATATTTTTTTATTTACTAGGTTTATTTTATGCCACATTGATAATTACTGTATAGAGCAACTTTCACAACAAATTTGTTGGTCAGTTTTTGTTTCAGTGTATTACTACTTTCTCTTATTTGCTGAAAAAATATATACTGTGTTTCTATTGTGAAGCTAGTACTTACATAATTTTCCATTTGTCATTAATTTTTTTCTGTTGAGATGATTTATTTCTTAAAAAGTATAAAAACTAACGTACTTTTGAACAATTTTAATATATTTTCCAACGAGGAATATAATCAGAGTTATTCACCAGAGTGCAGGCCTGGCAAATACATATACAGTTTATGTTTATGAAAATGTAAACTATGTTATAACTATGTAACAATGCTACATATAAATATTTTGTTATGATTACAATTAATACAGTGTTGTTGGAATAGAATTTAAAAAACTGTATAGAATTGAAATGAGTATAATTCAATTACGGTAGTCTTCCAGTGATTTTCAAAATTTTTAAATATTTTCAGAAAACTGTTAAAATTTTTGATAATGGAACTTAAGCGAATCATCCTGTATGTTCAAAATCAGTAAAGTAACCAGATAACCTTAGGCATAAGATTGTAAATATAATAAATGTATCACATTCTTAAATACATGATTTGTTCATAAGAGATATGTTTTATTTTTAGCTGTGTTTTGTGTTTATTATAAATTGACAAAATGTGGGTGTGCTAAATCCTTTAGAAAAAAATATTTTATTTAGCAAACATCCCTATGTTCTGCGGAAAAAATTGAGGAATAAATGTTGATTTTTTTTCGTATTATTTAAATCAACGTGGACATTCCATTTGTTGTAATGTAATGTTATAATAAAATGTTAATTGTACACAGGATTTATTTGCTGTTGTGTTGTTTATGTTGACAGTCGATTGCAAAATAATTGAAGCTTTAAGAGTTAACGACCATGAAGGACGAATATTTCCATTGACTACAGAGCAAATTGTTTAGATATTACCAAAGAGAACACTAAGATACATTCGCTAGGGTGCATTTCACAATACTTTGATTAATCAGTTCAATTTAGTTGTAGAAAGATAGACAGGATTATCTTCAGATTAAGATATTTTATCACCGCCGCGAATAAGTTTCGCTGAAGAAAGGGTAGAAACATACCTGATGATGCGATCTACAAGGATCCCAATGCAATGGACATTTACTTTTGGGGATAAATCAAACGGTCAAAGACCCCTAATTACTATTAGAAACGAGTTATGACAAAGGATTGTGGTATCCGAACTTTTGGAACGTGTGGGGATTTTTTTTAAAATGGTGCAGAAAATGCATTGAAGTAGATGGTGGTCATTTAGAACATTTACTCAAATATATAGATCGTGGAAACGATGGCAACGATACGTAAAACAATTTATGTATTTCACAATGATACAATGACATAAATCTTATAATTATAGTTCACTTTATTTTGTGTTGATGTTCCGCAGGTCTTTGGTGTGCGGTCAATTATGACAGCTCTATTAATAATATATAAGTAATAAGATAAAAAATAGCATGACTTATATTTTAAAGTAATTGTAATAATTGTCAGTTTTATTCAGAATTTGAAAAAGTATGTATGTAATTAACATAAATGCATCTACCAAGTGACTAACTAAAAACTAATAATAATAAAGTTATTTGTAAAAATATTACACAAATTTAATAACACTCATTTTCTCATATTTAGGTTTTTAAAAAAAGTTTGCTAATGACACGAATTTTGATATTTGAAAATTATATGCGTTTAACCGACATAATACATGAAAATGATCCCTAATTTTGTTTGTATTTAAAAAACAAATTGGAAGTTTAGAAATTACGATCCTTGATTAAACTGATTAATAGGGAATATATTTTCTGAGTGAAATTTTATCGATAAGCAACAATAAATTTTATTTGTATTAGTATTATCAGTGGATTAATTTTCATATTTGGAATTAAATCATCACTACATAAATCTATTTTAGGAATATACGAATTATTCCTCGAATATACTCACTTTGTAAGGTTGTCAGTAGTGTATTATATCCACAAAATTAGAACTTAGGAGTGAAGGTATTTCTGTACTATTAAACGACCAGCAAGTAACAAGTAACGAATCTATGTCACTGGAAAAAAATATTTAAACTGCGTATAAGTAACTCCATCATATAAATCGATAAACACAGTTTTATCGCAAAGATTATTATCGCATTCTGTCGATGAATCGTCAAAAACATATTTGCAAACAGCACAGTTCATATCTAAGTAACTTTTTAATTTATCGAAAGTTCTTGTATCTATTCAAACAACACCAGTTTTATATAACACTACCAAATAATAGTTTTTTACTTAATCGATTATTTGAAACTTTCAAGTTATATAATATCCACTATCAAATTGTGGTCGACGCTTGAGGCATATGAACTACCAATTAATAGGAACACAGCTGTTCATCTATATAGAAAACATTTGGCAAAATTTAGTGAAAGCAAATGCAATCGTTTATTAAAATAAAACATCCATAAATTATTAACTTATTTATTTTTAACTATTTGAAAATTCATTATAAATACACAAGTGTTTATAACATGCGTCCAAGGAAAGAAAAATGGTTAAATAAAAAGTGTACGTTTCAATTTACAAATAAAAATAAAAAATATAAATAAAGAATAAATACATGTTAAATAATAGTAAACTCATTATCACATTTATTGGGCATTTTGAATGACCAATGAAATTTAAAAATAATACATTCATGATCATTTGAAACATGGATTTGTTTAGTTATAAGCGTATTTGATTAAGGAATGCATGCACATACGTATTACGAAATTCGAATGTGTACAGATCACTTGTAAGAAGAAGCCGGCTAATTTAAATCAATTAAATATTGCAGAACCAGCAGCAATGGTTTACATAATAAAAGATTTTCATTTAAAATATTTGCATTCTTTATACGCGTAATTCATTCATAGTTCTCACTTAATTGCAGTTTTGCACAAGTTAATAGTGAATAATTTGAAAACAAATTTTTACATTGTACTTAATTTGTTCATTGCTAGTATAATAGTAACTTTCAACAAAAATCCTTGAAATTAGATGGAATCGTAAATATTTATAAAACTTACTAGCATATAGTACCTACATAGGAACGTGATTTGTAAAAAGGAAAATCGTAGATTAGATTAAAATCTATATTTTTCTTTACAGATATTCTGAATGTATCCGAGAAGAAGTTGTCATCCTGCATATTTATAAGTTGTTTTTTAATTTGTTATTTAGATGAGTATAATCCTTTCGATATTGAAATCTATTCAACATACGTTGTATATTGTTAATCAGTAATTTATTTATTTAAATACTTTAAATTTCTTCCCAGAAATATAATTTCTTACTTTAAAAATAGGCAGCATTTGAAATAAATATTTTGATACTTACGGTTAAAAGAATTCTATTCTTAATTTTATGATCTACATAGATTTTGTAGAAACATGTATTGTATCGTATATTAATGTATCGTTATCGTTTGTTTAATACAAAATTGAATAGTTTTATTAGTTTTGGTCAAATGATTGTATATACTTATTTTAAGAAAATTTGGTTTGGATATAAATATTTCTCTATAATGAAAAAAAATATTTTGTTTTAAATTCACAACAAATAGTATATACCAACATTACCAACAGCAACAGCTAGGATCGTTCGTAAGTAGCTCCATCTATCGTGCTACTTCCCACCTATGCCATTCTGTGACCTGCTACAATTTTCTTTCAAGGCAACATAAGTTTGATTATAATTTGCTACATTCATTTTGAATAATTCCTATATTAATACTAAATTTTAAACATTCAAGGAACTGGTAGTTTTGAAACAAATGTTGACAGTTTATGATGAACTGTAAGAGATATTGTAGCTAAAGTCCGAGACAATAAATTTCAAAACTATAAACAATTTGAATTAAATTATATATATTTATAAATAATATAAATTCTAAGAAAAAATATAGATTACAGCAAATATTTCACATAGTTTGACGAAGGTATATACATTTGAATTGAATAAAATAACATTTGCGGCAAATAATTCCATTTATTTAAAACTATCTGGTCATTTGATTCAAATACTTTTTTTCAGTGTATCAAGGCGTTTGCAACGGTTACATGAAAAAATCCGCAAAAAGAGACCAGAATTGTGGCGTGACAATTCATGGTTTTTGCACCATGATAATGCACTCGCACACTCAGCTTTGTTAATTCGTCATTTTGTGTCCGAAATCAGATTACTACTCGACCCTCCTTACTCGCCAGACTTGGTTCCTTGCGATTTTTTCTTATTTCCGAAATTAAGATTAGTGCTGAAAGGACGCCGTTTTTAAACTGTGATGACAGCAAAGCAAATTCACCAGCTTTAAAGGCTGTGTTGAAATGGAGCTTTCCAAAATAACTTTGTGAAATAGAAACGCCGCTAAGTGTGTGAATGGAACAAGGACCAATAACGTATAAATTTAATAATAAAGTTGAAATAAATTAAGTTCGGTTATTTTTTGAGCATGCCTCGTATGATATTTTAACAGACAATTTTCATGGTGTAACTAGTGTGAAATTTCTAGTTTGACTACGCACTATGCTTATTACATATAAATTTGCATAGAAGTTGCTTCAATTATTCTTATAATTAATACAAATTAAAAGTATACTAATTCAAAAGAATGTTGAGGGTGACTTAAAAGCACGTAGTAAACGATTCAATTTTATAAATACACTTAATTAGAAAACAAAATATAGATAAACGTGCATGAAACACGTAACACTACCTGATGAACGATATCAGGAAAAGAAACAATTATTGTCACTGCATACTGCAACACTTCCGGAAAATTTAAAATTAGCAAATTATTCACGTATGCAGAATGAATGGTTGTTGGAAGTTTCCTATAGTGTTACAAGAATTCGGTTAAATCAACATCAAATTATGTATGAATTTACAACCATATAAATTAAAATAAAAAAGTAATGATTTGGACAAACAACATTTTTACTATGGTTTTAGTTTTCATTGATATATAAGAAGGAATCAGTGGTATTAAAATCTGGTGGATTGGATGGCAGTTTATTAGATACTTTACTTTAAACGCAAGTACAAATTCTGAAACATGTTTTTGAAGTTATTGGAAGATAAAGCCGAACATCTTTAACTTCGTATGTTTTAAATTTGAAAGAATTTTCAAAGTATCTTTCGAAGCTTGACTAATAAACCGTTTATATTTCTCTGTACTATTAAGTGATATAGATAAAATGAGTATATATTCCCAGTTTACAAAATACTTACCCAAATAATCAACGACTACCCAAAGAACGTCACAAAACACATCGCAACACTGTGAAGCGAATTATATTTAAACAAAATATTAATAACATTTATCTATGCTGTACACATTGGTATGCAGTATTACCGACTTCAGTTCAATAACTTCAGTACGAATTAATTCATTAGATCCGAAATCTTTTGGCGTTTGATCGGTGTTACCCATGCACTCTCACTATTGTTGGTTTCTCAGGCGTTTGTTAGATTAAATCGTAAACATCTCCTCTCTAACGCTGCCTACCTATGGTGGTGGGAAATGGTCGAACACCTTAGCGATTTGGTTTTGGAATGGTGGAATTACGGATAGTGGAGGATAGACCGCAATTTTTGACAAGGCACTAGAACCCCAATTATTTTTTTAAAAGCATACTTATACAAGTTTTTCTTGAAAAAATCTTTGAAATCTACCCAGCTACCAGCTGTCAGTCAAAGTCTTGTATATGTATACAGGGTGTCCCGGAAATGGTGGGCAATCTCTCGGATAAGGATAGATAATGAGAAAATAATGTCACAAGTTCATATAAAATTTTTTCCTCCGCGCTCACCTTGTAGAGTTATTAGCTCTTGAAGTTGAGAATTAAAAATGTTTTTTTTTTGCTGTAACTTTTGTATTTTTTAATAAATTTTGAAAATTTTTTGGCTGGATCTATAATTTTTGAAGCTGCTTTGGATGATAATATGAAATCCTCGATAATAATTATGGGGGCCCGTAAGCAAAGCACCCCCCACCAAAATTTCTAGAAAAAAATTTTTGTTCCACTATACTCCAAATTTTCCATCATTTTATAAAAATTTATGGTATTTTACGTAAAAAAGGTATACTTGTTGAATATCCATGAAATAGATATTTTTTAAGATAAACCCGTTTAAAGAGTAAGGTACCACCATTTAATTTGAGACATTTTATTTAATTGAAACACACATTTAATCGTGGTTGGCTTTGACATGTCAGAGTATGCCAAAGGCAATTAAATTGTCAAACTTGTCAAATACGTAGTTTTAAATCTAAGACTCATCTCATAACTCATAATTTGTTATAAAATATGGAGTATTCCAATGAAGAATATGCTGATATGCATTTAATGTACGGGCGGGCTCTTTGTAATGCTTCGGCAGCAAGAAGATTTTATCAGCATTCTTATCCTAATAGAAGGATTCCGGATCGCAAAACTTTCGAACGTATTGATCAAAGATTAAGAGAAACTGGTAAAATACGATTACTATTATTAAACAAAATGGATATTAAATAAATTTTAATGTCTTTAGGTCANTTCCTCCCAAAACTTGCTTCGTCAGTATACAGAATTAATCTCGTAAACATAGGATTTTGCTCATGTCTCTGAAGAAACCATTGAGAAAACTGTACTCTTGCACGAAAATCATCAGGATTAAGAGCATGCACTTTTTGGATATGGTAAGGGTGAAGAAGCTGTTCTCTAAGGATTCTTGCAACAGTGGTCTTTGGAACATTGGTAAAAGAAGATAATGACCTAATGCTAACTGTTGGATGAGCAGCAACTTCGTCCAGTATATTTTCCTCTACTTCAACTGTACGTGCTGTTCACGGGGCACCCCTGTTTGCAGTAACAGGAGCAAACTGACCTAAAGACATTAAAATTTATTTAATATCCATTTTGTTTAATAATAGTAATCGTATTTTACCAGTTTCTCTTAATCTTTGATCAATACGTTCGAAAGTTTTGCGATCCGGAATCCTTCTATTAGGATAAGAATGCTGATAAAATCTTCTTGCTGCCGAAGCATTACAAAGAGCCCGCCCGCACATTAAATGCATATGCAGCATATCCTTCATTGGAATACTCCATATTTTATAACAAATTATGAGTTATGAGATGAGTCTTAGATTTAAAACTACGTATTTGACAAGTTTGACAATTTAATTGCCTTTGGCATACTCTGACATGTCAAAGCCAACCACGATTAAATGTGTGTTTCAATTAAATAAAATGTCAAATTAAATGGTACCTTCCTCTTTAAACGGGTTTATCTCAAAAAATATTTATTTTATGGATATTCAATAAGTATACCTTTTTTACGTAAAATACCATAAATTTTTATAAAATGATGGAAAATTTGGGGTATAGTGGAACAAAAATTTTTTTCTAGAAATTTTGGTGGGGGTACTTTGCCCCCGGGCCCCCATAATTATTATCGTTGGATTTCATATTATCATCCAAAGCAGCTTCAAAAATTATAGATCCAGCCAAAAAATTTTCAAAATTTATTGAAAAATACAAAAGTTACAGCAAAAAAACCATATTCAATTCTCAACTTCAAGAGCTAAAAACTCTACAGGGTGAGCCCGGAGGAAAAAATTTTATATGACCTTGTGACATTATTTTCTCATTATCTATCCATATCCGAGAGATTGCCCACAATTTCCGGGACACCCTGTATATATCTTGTTATAAATTAAATATTCCTATTAAGATTTATTAAGTTTCTGTTTAGTTTAGATTGGCATTTACGTTGTCCAAATTCATTGAAATTAAATGTCATTTAAAAGAGGTTCTTTGTATTTTTTATGATCTATCTGTTAGAGAAAAACTTGATAAAAACTAACAGATCTGTAAAATAATGGTAACAGCATTGTGATGAATTCTAAAGATAAAATATTTACAAGAAGAAATTTACAAGAAAAATTCACAGAAAGATTTTACGGTCACAAATAATAATTGACGAATTGTGTAGATCGTCCATTTATCACAGTGACAGCACAGTATATTAAAGAGTCTAATACTGAGTAAGTATTTGCGTCAATACATTTAAGTACGTAATTATTATTAATTAGTCTAGTTATGAAAGCCTCATGCGACAATTAGGAACCCGTTAAATGTTTAATTATTTATTATGCTTCACATTAAGAATATCAGTACAACCAGGAAATGAACTATTTTGTTAATAATTAATTTCGGAACGTGATTATTGTTATCATTTGGGCACATTTTCATTCATTTTATTTAAGCAAGCAGTAAGTAGTGACCTGCTCCTTGTCCATTGTGGTTTTGTATATTTTTGGTTAATTTAAAAATAGTTTTTTGCTTGGAAAAAAGCAAATATCCAACTAAAACGAGAATATCATTGAAAATAATACATCAGAAATAGATATGACCTCGATATGAGATGAGCACGACCTTAATACTGTTTCCTCAATAGACTTATTTAGCGAATCTCCTATTTGTCCATTTTTTCCTTCACGGACCATGATCTCTGCTAATAAATAAGACAAGCATGGTAATGTACATGCAATTAATATATATGTTAATGCTTATTAAATTGTAATAATATTGTAGTGTATTATAAGATGATACTCACAGGTGTTTCATGTTAATAAATATACACCGAGGGAAAAATCTGGCTTGAAACTAGTTTGAGATTGAATAATTATTTTTATTATGTGTAAATAATTATTTATATACAAACATTTTTAGGAATATTAATGTCACTGCCTATCTAACTGTAAGTGTTGTATATATTAGAAGAAACTAGTACTTTTAATGTCAACTGTGTTATATTAATGACTGAAACAAATCATGTAATACCAAACACTTATTTGTAATAATTAAATTTAGTCCATAAAATTAAACACTCCATTTAATGCATAACAGTGGACAGTCAAGGCATGTAGTGTAGAACAGCATCAATTATTATTGTGCACACATTGCGTGAGATGTTAATGAGCATAATTATTAGACGAGCAAAATTGCAACGCTAAATCGCTTAGTTATCGAAATAAAAAAAAACTGGCGTAGAACCAAACCAGACTTGGCGCGATTTCTTAATTAGGTGATCGTGTACACGAAACCACTTTTTACGACATTTTTTGTTGGTCAGGATCTTTTAAATTTCGAAAAAATAAAAAAATCTATTTTTATGAGAATATATTTTTTAAGGTCTCCACCGTTATATCTCAAAGAATAATTGGACTATCAGAGTATTTTTTTATTTAAAGCAGACACAATAGCGCTTTTAACAGTACTAATGGATTTTATAAAACTCGCTTTTTCATTTCGCTAAAAATCAGGAAAACTTGATATTTAAATTTTGTGTAATACAATTTTCACCAATCGATTAACTTTTTTTTTATGATTTTTTTATATACATGCCGCGAAGAAAATGAAGCCCAAACATTACATAAATTTTTGAAATAATTAGTTTTGGCAACAAGCGATTATTTCATAGCACGCTAAACTGATGCATGGGGCGTCCAACGTAATGTGTAATCTACATAGTGTAAGTGTACGGCTTGCGGGATTTGGAGTAGGTACATACATACGTGCCTAATAAGAAGTGTGTAATAATCATCAGAATATATGAAGTTTTTAAGACAATGGAGTGCATTATTTGTAAGAAAACTGTGCGGGATGATGACAAATCTGTAGTACAAAGACCTAGAATTCAAGATTTGTTGTCAAAAAAAAAACAATATTTTAAATGGCGAAATTAAAATAAAATACCTTATAGACTGTCATAAATCATATGCTATGTTTCAAAACATTGATCCTACCTGTATTTTGCAATCAGACGTATCACGCGAATATGTATATAATATATATTTTTGATTTGTTAAAATAATAACAAATTTAAACCTTTTATTTTGGTGAATGTATTTTTCAGCAATCGAGAAAAACTTTTATTTGTGAAAATTTGTATGTATATGCTGCTAACAAAATAAAGCCAATACATGAGAAATGTTTTTGAAATCATAATTTTTTATGTGCAACTTACAGTATGACGACCGCAATTTTTTTAAACAAACTGAAGCCACATTCTTGCACACCTGGCTCTCGCATTAAACTGTATATCGCCTATCGTCTGCGTAATATCAGATCGCCGCGTCGCGTTGTCTTCGTGTGGAGTAGTCAAATTTTTATCAATTTTATTAATTTCAAAAGGTACCTTCTTACCTATTTGGTATACAGCTAATGCAAAAAAACAGCGAATTTTGAGAGCTGTTTCAATTTGTTTTTCCGCCTATGTGAGTTGGTGTCTTATACCTATTTATTTAAGGGCATAAACTATAGGTATTATTTATAAAATTGGTTCGTATGACATTTTGACATATTTTAAAAATATACTAGTATGACAAACACCATAGTTATAACAATTGCCATTAATACTTATTATTGATAAAAAATCATTTACTACCACAATTTTTAT